ATGTAAGATTTAATTAAATAAAATTTTGATTTATTGTTGTTTAAATATAAATCAATTAGTTCATATTAATTTGAATGTTATAGGTAAGTATATATGCATTATATAATTAATATTTTATTTAAAAACTATTGTATTTTATCAAATTAATATGTAGGCCATAATGACTCGGGGTAGGGGTCGTGGTTCGGATGCCGATCGGTCGACAATGATCGTGGATGTAGACACCCTTCTTATTCCGCTCACGGTCGGATGGATCCCCCACTTGGACATGCCTCCATACCACTCTTCCGATGGCCCCTTCATATCCCATTCCATGCCTGCCATGTCTCGGCCTCGACCATTTCCATATTATGAACCTCCACGTCAACCTCCCTCATCTTTTCCTTCGTCAACGTCGGTGCCTTCGTCATCATATCAAGACAACCGTTCCGTTCCTCAACATGTTCCACCCTACAATGTCTCGCGTCAATCGGCTTCGGAACCAATAACATCCGTGGTTGACCATCGAGTACGGGTCGTTGTCTTTGGGCGCAATGAGTACGATTTATGCTTAATTTCATTAAATATTTTTTGTTTATCGTTATTATATACTTGGTTATTTATGAATTTAATTACTGTTTATTTTTTTGTAGGTTGTATCCCTCTAATATTTGCTCTCGCTCGATCATTAAGACATTTCGGGAGTATGTTCATATTTCGGGATGGATGTGGAAGAAAATGAGTCGATAGATAAAAGATTTTTACTAGGAAGAATTTAAGGTTCTAATTTCTAAATTTTATTTGATTAATTATATTATTTAATATTTAATTAAATAGCACAAAAATAATATGAAAATAAATTTAGTAGTGTTTATTATTATTATTTTTTTTTTGCGAAATCATTTAAGTGAGATGATGATTTGAACGAGAGCATAGTCAAGAAAGTATGGGAAAGTCTCGCACGGAAGCAATATTCGACTTCCTTTGTCATCTAAGGAAAAAATTGAAGCCGGCATATACCTCACAAGAAATATGGGATGCATGGACTACGGAATGGACGAAACCGAGACCGTTGCTTGATCCGAGATGGCGGCACGGAACCATAGGAGCGAGGCCGGTGAAGTCGAAGCGCGGTCCTTATAGACATACGGGGGGATTAATCGGTCATAGAGAGCACGCCATACGCATGGTAAAAAATATATATTAATTTATTTATTTATAATTTTTTAAAAAATAATACCTAAAATAATTAATTAAACATTTGACTATATTTAATACATTTACATTTATTTATATATGTTTTTAGCGTAATGTGTTGGGTCGTGAACACGATCCTCACGAGGTTTTCTTGAGGACTCATCGGAGAAAGGTTAATGATCGGTTAGTCTTTGTCAATCAACGATCGAGGGTTATCGGAGTAAGTGATAACTTTGAAACATTATTTAATATCTGTTAGTTAATAACGTTATTTGACATACGTATTTAATATGATGTGTTTCACAATTATACGAGAGACCGTACAAAGATTAATTAATGAGGAAGAGGTTGCTAGCCGACATTCGAGAGGGACTCGAAGCGATCGCACTCGACATTAATGACATCTTTTAGAGGGCCGTTGGTGGAGGAGATAATAGGAGGAAGAGGATGTACGAACTTGGGTTACATGCTTCTCACTACTATTCAACTATCAATGCGAGCTCATCTTTTGCTACTTCTAGATTCAATGCGGTTGACGAGGCACGGTTGAAGGAATTACGGGAGCAAACATCCGCAAACACGACGCACATCAATAACTTAGAGAGTACTCGTCAACGGCCTCCGGGGTTAAGTGGTATCGTTGTTGGATACGACAAATGAGTTGAGAACCTATAGTCGACGGTAGTATACAATGATGTCATAGATGCGACGGATGTTCATGCGGCATTTTGAGCGTGGTGGTAGTTCATCCGTCGTTCTCGAGACCGACGACGATGCAACCTAGCCTCCATACGACTCCACCTGACCTCCGACCGATCCTGGACATTAATTTATTTTAGCTTTTCTATTTTCTTGTATTAACCGCAAGTCGATGTACTTGTTTTTTGTTATTTAACAATATTTGTAATTATGTAGCGACGTTTTAATACATTTTAAATAATAAAAATTTACGTTTATGATATTTTACGAGATTTTTGTTATTTTAAAATTATTCCTTTTACCTCATTTTATTATAGCTGTAAAAAAAATTATTTTTTCAATTAGCACCGGTCTTAGAAACGGTCTAGACCGTCGCTAACAATAAAATATTCCCAATAGTGTAGACCGTCGCTATTTCTATTTAGCAACGAGCATACCAAGGGTTTACTAGACCGTCGCTAATTTTATAACTCGTTTACATCGACATTTAACGATGGACTAGCAACGTTTTTGACCGTCGCTAATTTTGCAACGGTCCAAACCGTCGCTAAAAAATACCGACGAGGTTTTTAGTGACGGTTACTAAACTGTCGCTAATTAGTCACGAAAACGTTTTAGCAACGGTTTTTTTTATTTAGCAATGGGTTTGCCCGTCGCTAATTGGCATTTATCTTGTAGTATCTTGCCCATGTGTGAAATTTCATATCTTTATGATATAAGATCATTGTCTATTTAAATCATCTTGTTAGCCAATATAGTATTGATTTTTCATGTCAAAATTAGTTATTGCCATATTTTATATTTTTGATATAGTATTAAATATTTTTACTTTTTGAATTTTTAATGATAACGCCATCTACTAATATCCTATATATATGTAAAATTTTAGATCTCTATGATATAGAATGGTTGTCCATTTAAATTACTTTGTTTTCTACTTGCAATATTGAGTTTTCAAGTTCGGGTTAGTTACTATCGTGTGTTACATGTTTGGTATACCCTTATATACTTTTACTTCTTGATTCTTTTATACAAATAACATCTATATATATGTCATTAATCTGTGAAATTTAGGATGGCCATCATTTTAAATCATTTTTGTTTTTGCAACAACGATCGATTTCTCAAATTAGAAATAGTTCCTATAATGTTTTGTATGTTTGAGGTATCAATAGATATTTTTATCCCTTGATTTTTTTTGAATATCATCTATTTTTCCTTAATATTTTCGTGAAGTTTTAGATTTTTTTGAAATAGAATGGTTATGGATTCAATTCATCCGGTGGCTAAGGCAACGGTATTCGTCAAATTGAAATCGATTGCTATGGTATTTTACATATTTGATATGTCTTTGAATGTTTTTACATTCTAATTTTTATATATGATTATACATTTCCTTGAGTTGTTTTTAAAATTTCATAATTTTTATATATGTATTGGTATTTTATTTGAATGTATTTTGGTTATTGTTGTGTTTATCATGTAGAATATGGAATTGTCGAGTTTCCTAGATTCTAGGGATCGGTGACAATTTCGTATAGGATCTTGATTATAATTAATAAATGGTTTCTCATTTTATGTTAACTAGGAAAGCCAAGTCGACCTAATGAGTCTCTTATTTAATAGGGATAAACGCTAGTCTTGACATCTAGGTAAAAAAAAATAATAAAAAGAAGAAAGAGAAACACAAAAAATTAGAAAAGGTAAATACAAGTCAAACTTTAAATAGTTTATTTAATTAGGTCATTCTTTGACATGCCACTCATGAAACGACTTTAAATTGGATCCGATGCTAAATTGACGAGACTCTTAAATTTTGAAGTCTAACATCAATTTAATACTATGCCACAAATAAAAAAATAAAAATAAATTAAACCTAGATAATAAATAGACTTGGAAATAGAATTAGGAAATAATTTGAAAAAATAAATTTTTAGGGGATACATTTTAAGATTAAACCGGACGTAATACCTTTCTTCGGAAAGGATGCCTTTAGATTTCTAATTATGTTTAATACTAGGCGATGACTCCAAAAAAATTTTCTTAATTCTTTTTCCCTTTTCCATATAGAATTTTTTAAATGTCTCCTAAATGTTAGGTAGCGACGAACTTGACGACTTCATCGGGGATTTAGAATTAGGTCATAGGTTTAGTCATTTTTAAATTTATCTCCTTTATTTATATTTGTCATTTGTATCCAAGTTATTTATTTTTGAAATTCTTTATTTATAATCAATTTAAATTTCAAGACATTTATTTTATGCAATTTAAATTTATTTATTTATTTTTATGCATACTATGGATCTGGATTAGATATATCTATTTTGTATTGTTAAACACACACCACTAGAAAAGCATGCAAAATCTATAGACTCGAGCTAAAACCTTTTTTGGATTTAGATAGAAGGATATAGTTGAAAAGTATAACAAAAGTTTATTGATGCTCACCTGGACTCTCTTTTAAATTAGAACTCACTTTATGCATAGAAAATTATAGAATGATCTTTCCATACTTCTTGGTGCATAAGGTTATATGCTAGATTACTCTACTAGTAATATAGACAATTCAAGGACTTTAAAAAGCTTTCAGAATTAGACAAGTTTTGGCTAAACATTATGTAAAAGAACTAAATCCTATTTATTAGGTTTGACCTTTTATTTTTGTGATATTGCCCAACCTAACCTCTTTCTGCTCTCTTCTAGGGGTTTGAAAGTATACCCTCAACAAAATCCCACTATTAATGAACATAAAAGATAAATACTTGGTCCATAAGAAGCCTTCCTCCTCTGTTCTTTATTCATTAGCTTAGTAAGTTAATATTTCCTCCATATTAGTTAAAATTTTAAGTGATGTGTTATTTTTGTAAAATAGAAATAAAAAATATTGATATAATATAATAATTAATAATTTTTTTATAATGAAAAATCAAACAGGACAATCTCTCATTAGAACAGACTTTGTCTTAAATTAAACTAATTATATAATCCACGTCAAACAAGTACTCTTGTAAAACACAAGATAAATGCATCAATACACATGAGCTTTTCATTGGATTAGTACTCATAAAGCTTAGAAGGAGAAGAAGACCAACAAGCCAGCGACAGCGGCGGCAGCAGAGACCTTAATGGTTGTGGCTCCGGCTTTTTGGGGTGCTGGTGGTGCAACTGGTGCGTCGCTGACAATTTCGCTTATTGGTCCATCAGCAGGTAGTGGTCCTTCTGCGCTCAGGCTGGCTGGGGCTGGAGGTGAAGAGATTTCACCTTCAGGGGCACCCGCGGGGCTCTCTCCGGCGACAGGAGAAGCGACCGAGCTATTGGGGGCTTCAGAGATGGTTGGGGAATCGGCTGCGGGAGCCTTAGCTGGAGCCTTAGAGGACTTTGGTGATGGTGATGGTGACGCTGAAGGGGTGGCGGCAGGTGCCTCAGCAGCAAATGCCCCAGCAACGGTAACAAAGATGAGTGCAAGAACAAGAACTTGACGTGCCATTGTGATTTGTTTTTATTTTGCTTCTGATTCTATAAAATTTTGCAGCACTTCTCTTATCAATACAGAGAAACACTGCGCAGCTATAGAATGAGGGAAGTATAGAGGAAGCTGAAGGAAATATATAGATTAAGGGAAGGAGAGAAGTTAACGAATTGCATGGACATGAATACTCGAAACAAGGGGGAACTTTTTCCATTTTTTGGCTGCCATGGTTTTTTTTTGGAAATGGAAGGACAGGAGGCTATTGGTTGACCGAGTTTGATGGGGAAATTAATACCTGAGGTTAGAATACGACAAGTGGTTGGGGTGAGAGGGAAAACTTGGACCTTAATGCGTTCCAATGGTTTGATCGGATGTGAACCATTTTTAGTTTTTACTAGAAAATTAATGCAGTTTGACAGGCGACACGCAAGAAGGAAGAAATTTTCTTCTTCTTCTTCTTTTATTGTTACAATGAAGATTTCTAATAGTTCTTTTATTATATATATATATATATATATATACACACACGAACTGCATCTTATACGAGTTCAAAACACGCTTCATGATGGGGAAATTATTGATTTTGTTTATGGCAAAACTTTATGCCTAGCTAATCATAAGAGGCAAAATTAATATTCAAATACGAGAAAAAAGGGACAAATGGACAAAACAATTTCCACATACTTGGTAGTTTAAAACTCATTTATGTATTTTTTTTAATCCACATAGGCATCATATCATCTATTTAATTGAAAAAAAAAATACAAAACAAAACAGTTAATCCCTGTATCATTTGCTACCTTCTTTGGGACAAACAATCTCTCTCTCTCTCTACGAGATCATGGCCTTTTTTTTTTCTTTTTCCTTTGATCCTTTGTTATTGGAAAACTATGATAAGACTAGCTATTGTTTATTGATGCACTTGTTTTTTTTAATCATAATTTAAAAATAAAAGTATGGCGTTTGTTTTAAAGATTTTTTAATATTTTTTACACAATTTTAAAAAATTATTAATTATTATATCATATTAGTACTTTTTTCTAAAATATTTTTTTATTAAAATTATTTGTTACCAATTTTAATCTTATATTATTTGAAACCAATATTAATTTAAGGAGAAAATCTATCCAAAATTAAAGTGGTAAATCAAAAGAAAAATTGTTAAGTTAATTAACAAACAAATTTAAAATAATTATAGAGAAATAACATACTAACATGAATGTTTTACTCCCAAAATTTTAGCATGCAGTAAAATGTCAACAAAAATGAATATTTTTCATGTATTAAAAAATTTCTCTTTGAAATTTTTATGTTAAAGGTACTTGTATGTAAGCATAAAGAATATTGATCTTTTATTAGTAAAGAACATGAAATGGAAGAAAGAATTGATTTTTATTATTATTATTTAGATGTATTTTAGAAAAGTATATTATTTAAAGTTTTGACAAGACAAATATTTTAGAAAAAATAAATAGAAAGAGAGATAATCTTTTTGAAATAGGGAAAATAATATTATGAAATCTAAGTAATTCTTTTAAACAAAACTGAAATCACTTATTGTGAATTTAGAAATACTAGTAATTAGAATAATATTTGAAATACTTGATTTCAGAAAACTAATTCTATATTTGAAATAGTGTAATAATTGCTTAAACTTTTCTTGTTCACTAATTTATGTAAATAGCTCATCCCTATATAATTAGGTAAATATTTAATATATTTTTAATTGTATCTATTATTTTCTTATATAGTATCAAATTCTCCAATATGTCCATTAAACAATTTTTTTTCACTCACATTGATAAAATTGTACTTTTCATTTCAAAGTTTTCTTTGAAGTATATAAGAATATAATAGAAAAGTTTTGTAAATTGCTTAAAAAATTTAAGACTCAACATTATAATTTTTAAAAATAAAGATTTTAACTTCTTTAAAAAAATCAAACTTATATTCCTTTATAACTCAATGATAGTTTGAGAATGAAAAATATAATTATGTCAATTTAGATAGAAAACTTTGATAGAGAGCCATATTGAAGGATTATGTATTATACAGAGTTGTAATAAACACAATTACAAACATATGAACAGATTAAAGTAATTATATGAAAAATAGATTGATCTATTTACCCTATCAATTTTCTCTACTATACTTTTTTCTATTTTGTTTTCTAACATTACTTGATTGGACTAATCACATCAAATGTTCATCTATTCTTTTGATTTTCTTAATGTGGCCTTTGTATTTATTATTAATATTATTATTATTCATCTCTTTCTATTCTTGATTTTTTTCTGAATATGGCTTCTCTAATTGCTTTTTGGTCAATTTTCTAATAGAAACTAACACCTGATACAAAAAAGTTCACGTGGGATTCCATGTCAAAATAATTTACCTCGTGAAAAAAAAAAGAGAGAAAAATTAGCTGAAAATAGGGAAAAAAGGGAGCTAGGTTGAGAAAGGACTTTTGCCGCAATATAATTCTTAGATAAATCCCACCGAATCTTGGAAAGCACTGACTTTTCTTCTTGTCTATGGCTTCTTGGGCTCCTGTGTATCCAGCTGTTGCCCCCATCCCAATTGATATTTTTTGGTCTTCAAGAAACATCATGGTCTTAATGGTGACTTGGGTTTAGCTGAATCTGTAGGAAATATAGTTTTCAAGGTCAATTTTGACATGTCTAGAAAATCATCCCTACGAGTGTCCTTCTTACGGTCATTCTTGATACATTTGAAAATCCTTTGATCTTTGTGTTTCATGATTACGTGAGTTAGTTTATATCGATATTGAGATTTATGTTTCATTGAGTAAAGATTCTAACTTTGACAAAAATTGATGGTTATATATTTAGATAATTGAGATTAGATTCTATTCAAAATACTTAAGCTTTATAGTAGATGAGTCATTCTCAACTTTATATATTAATCATCTTTTATTTAATTATTCAATATTAAATATGTTTTCTAACACACCATCTTACTTATAGTCTATCTTTGAGGATTTTTCCAGTGATTTAGGCAGTTTTTTTAAGGCTTTGATATCATATATACTTAGATAGTTGAGATTGAATTCTATTTAAAATACTTAAGCCTCATGGTGGGTAACCCTTTCGTTACACTAATGTCTTAACAATGTCTCATATCCGAGAGTACAAGATAATGTATTGTGTCCTTGACTTTAAATCTTTATCTCAATGCATAGTAAAATCCTCATTCGATTTAAAGTTTAAGGCTTTTTAAAAACTTGATATTTAAGGCTAATAATTTTTTTTCCACAAATACATAATTGCATAACCTAAATCATTTATAAACATTCTATACCATTTCGTTTTCGTCCTTAAATTAAAACTATAAAGTTACTTCAAACATTGAACCATTCATATTTTAAACTAATTTAATAGCATTTCAGTAATTACATAAATGCATCCATAATTAGATTAATTCATCAACATATCAAAATTGATATAATTTTTCCATAATCCTTTAATCTAATAAATATATGTGTTAACATATCAAATTAATCCAAATATCATCATATATACAGATATGCTAAAAAAGTCAAGGTATATATATATATATATATAAAAACTTACTTTTTTATTAATAAAAATTATGGATATGTTTTAATTAAAAGCATAAATATAAATTCCATTATAAAAACGTGGAACCATCCTAAAACACGGTTGTGTTCCATTATTAATTAAAAAAAAAAGAAAAAAATTTGTGATTGTATTGGTCATGTTGAAACAATAAATAAATAAAATGGTATAGCGGCCGGTGAGTATTGAGGTTCAAAATAAATATTTTCTAATTGGCTATTAGTAATTACTTTATAAATAAAATAAAATTTCTGGTACAAAAAATATGCACCATTTGCCCCAAACACAAACATTAGAGAGCCAGTTTTATTTATTTATTTTTTTTTAATTTTTTTAATTTCAAGTGAGAGCGTCCCTTAAAACCCCAATTATGGGCCAGAAACTCCCCTGCCATTTAAATCTACTCGCCCAACTAACGGAAAATGGAAGAGGAACCAAGCACGACACCCGGCTCCGGCGGCAGGACATTGGAGGAATGTGAAGATATGATTCGACGGAGTTTCCGGAGTAAAATTTTTAAACCCTTTCGTTTCTCCTTCTACTTTTCATAAATTTCATTAGGGTTTAGGGTTTTTCCAATTTGTAGCTTCGACTCAATGCTGAGAGCGAAGTTGTATTTTTATGATACTATTGTTAAGTTGCTTTCGAAGATCATTTACTGAATTTTTTTTTTTTTTTTTTTTTTTTTTTTTTGGGGGTATTGTATAGCTCCAATGGTGAAATTTTTGAGGGAGCATATGGAGAAAGCAGGGTGTGGAGTTAGTGAAAATTTCTTCAAAGCTGTTAAATGTGATAAGAAGATTGCTGGTGGTTATGTTCGTGGTGAAGGGGTAGCATTCCGATGCTCATTCTTTTGTTAATTTTTTGTTTTTTCATGATTTTGTGGATTGCATTTTAGTTTGTAATGTGAGTTTACTCCTTATTTTCATTTGGATGTGAATGCAATACAGTAGAACTATTGCTCAAATTTACGTTATGTATGCTTTTTTAGGCATTTGCTTGAAATTCCTTTTTCTTTTTCATTTAAATTAATTGAGGTTTCTATTGGTTTGTGAATCATGTATTTCTTGTTGAATCATATGCATTTCTTCAATCAATTGGCCAGGCTATCATGAAGGGCCTTTTTTTGGGATCTGTTTTTCTCCTTTGGCATGCTTAAGTGTTTCTATAGCAGTCTTGCTTCTAACTTAGGCTCTATTTTTCAGATAATTGTGTGTAGTAATCACATGAACTTTCAAGATGATGTAAACCAAGTTGTTACACATGAGCTGATTCATGCTTATGATGACTGCCGGGCTGTGAACTTGGACTGGGCTGATTGTGCTCATCATGCCTGTAGTGAGGTATCTATCACTGCAACAGCCACCAAATCTTTTTCATGAATTAAGTTTGGCATGTTTTCAGTAGAGTTTTTCTTTTGGCTTAGAAATCACCATGTACAGATGCAAGTTGGAAATCTCATTAAAATGTACCAAGTCTTTTTACAGTTCGGAAGTGCTGCAACTACTACTTCTTTTCCCTCCCTTGATACTTATGTTGACATTTCTGCTTTTCTTGTCTGTCTGTAAGATTCGTGCTGGCCATTTAAGTGGTGATTGCCATTACAAACGGGAACTGCTGCGGGGTTTTATGAAATTAAGAGGCCATGAGCAGGTTAGTTCTAAATTCTTATGAAACCTTACATGTAAAATTTACTCCTGTTCACCATATTATCACATCTGCTAGCTTGTAAGATGAAAAATTCAATCTTTTCATAGGCTGTAAATTGAGGGTAAATGGTTATGCCATGTTAGCAGAGGTTTCTTTTTCCTTTGAAATCACTTTGTACAGATGGAAGTTGGAGTCTTACTAAAACGCAATCCATTAGAGTTCAGTGCTGCAGGACATCACTTGCTAAGTTTGAAGAATATGTGATCCTTGCAATCGAGTGATTTTTTTAGCAGTAGACAACTTCAGTTATTAAGTTTTCATCCATATTTAGATCTGTAATTGGCAGTATTTTAGGAAAGAAACATCCTATATTCAGATTAGTTTTCCACCTTGAAAAAGCACAAGTTGAAAATTTTCAATTCCTGTGTTGTTAAATATTACCTTTTTTTTTTTTGTGTTGTTAAATATTACTTAATTCTGATAAAGAAGAATATATTATTAGTGGAGAAAATGAGAAATTACAACAATGAAAATGAGTTATTATCCCAGATTAAAGAAGACAAACAATTTCTATCTTATATAACTAGCTGTAAGACTGCTCACAAATAATTCGATTACTTCTAACATGTTGAAAAATTAGCTCAACTATTTATAAAAGGTATTTAGACGCTTTTTTGGTTAACTGCTAGCATATATATGGGTTACAAAACATGACTTTCGCTGATTTGTATGTTCCTATTTATCATTGCTATTAATTCAAATTATTTAGAAAAGTGAAAACCTTTTTACAAATAATTTGATTACTTCTAGCATGTTGAAAAATTAGCTCAACTATTTATAAAAGGTATTTAGATGCTTTTTTGGTTAACTGCTAGCATATATATGGGTTACAAAGCATGACTTCCATTGATTTGTATGTTCCCATTTATCATTGCTATTAATTCAAATTATTTAGAAAAGTGAAAACCTTTTTACAAATATATAAATTAAGAGTAGAACAGTAGAGAATCAAGTACATATAATATCTTCGGTTATGACACCAGTATAATCAAAAGGGTACAAAAATCATAACAGCTATCTTTTAGTTGACATGGATTGCATGTCTTTTCTCCATGGCCTACACCCAAAAAAACAGAAAAAAGAAAAAAAAAAAGATGCATGTGTTGAGAATATCAGAGCCTTTTGTCATGAAACCAAATATTTCAAGCCATAAAGAGTACTCATAAATTTTAAAGTAATTTTGACTGGATTTTTATAGCTATTGGAATTTTTAAAAATGATTTATTAGCTTACAGTTAATTTCACTCCATTTACTGGCCGTAAGATAAAAGTTATGAAAACTCAACTACTGCAAAATGCTTTTTCTATCATATAAGAGAGTTAGTCTCATTTATTTTCTTAGAGAAATGCAGCTTTTGTATAATTTCACAGATCGATATTCTAGTATAAGAGATACAAAGTAACAATTATATGATACACTTTTAGGCTCTTTAGGCCTATTTGTGAAAATGGAAAAAAGCAAGATAGAAATGATATTGGGTATAAACCTCGATAAATGATTTTGAATCAAGTATCACTTCTTTGTTTTGCTCTGTATTAGCCAGAGTGGTTACTTGTAGTATGCAGATTGCATACTGTCAACTTTTAAAATTTTTGGCAAGTAAAGTGATCATATTTCATATAGAAGACTCAAAAGGACCATCTATAGAAAAAGCTCAGGAACATAATCATAAAGCTTCTAAAGACAATGTTATAAGCTTTGGACTACGGGAGATATAGTCCTCATTAATTGGCAAAAAATTTCAGCCCTATAGTTATGAGCACTTGAACTATATTCCTTATTGATTCCCAAAATTTTCATACACATATATATATATATAGGAAAATTTTGAGGAGGAGAAAGGAGGTGGATCACATTAATATATTAGAAGAATTGCCTTGAACTTAGGACTTAGATTACAACTTTTACAACACATATTTATACTAGTTTAAGATAATTCTAGAGACTAAAAAAATAACCACATCATCAATGCATTGCATATATGCACCTAGAATAATTAAATTGACTCTTTGAAAAACACACTTTTACATTATTCTAGATTTCAAAATTAATTCTAAACACTCCCCCTTGATTTTGAAAATCTCACAATTCTAGAAGTTGGAAATAAGTTAGGGAAAATTGCAAAATAGTTTCTTCTTTTTGTCACCATTTCTTTTTTGGACAGCTACATTGCTGCCACCATCTCTAATTGGTTCTTCCATCTTCACCTTGATTCTTGAGCCATCTCTTTCATCATGACTGGTGGCACAGCATTACCATCCCTTCTTTTTGTCAGCAACTTATGTTCTTAATCATGGCTTCTCGTAGCCGTTTTTCTTGTCTCATGGCTGCTGCCATATTTCTTCACCATGGCTCTCTACCCATTTCCATCTTTTTCTTTAGTAAGAGCTCTCTTCTCTCTTCTTCATGTGTGGTCTTTCTTTTACTACATCATCTCTTGTGCAATCACTTCTCAACTTGCACTTAACCTCTCTTGGCTTCTTCTATCTTTCTCTTGTTGCAAGGTCCGAATTCTATTGTCTTGCACCTCCATTTTCTTCTTTGGATGTCACTTCTCCATCCACTTACTCTTGGGATTTCTCCCTTCCTATACACATGCTCTAACCTGCCCCATTAGACCAAACTAGCTTTGATACTGCGTTAGAAAAAACTGGGGGGAGTAGGAAGCATGGTGGACTCTCTTTCTATTATGTTACTCTCATATGAGAGGAAGCCCATGAACTTGGACTTAGATTACAATACTTTCAATACATGTTTTTATACTAGTCTAAGGGTAATATGAGAAATGCTACTCATGTATATATATATATCATATAGGAGCCTGATAGCTTGTCTGTTCTTTTGGGCATGTTATCAGTATACCTAACTTTTTTGGACTTAATTTATCCTTGTTTATTAACTTGGTCAGGTTTTTCGAATAGGGATAAAATTTTAAATTTCATGAACCCATCTTTATTCCTTTTCCTTTTGATTGCTGCCCCTTCTCTCTAATGGTTGCCATGAATATATAACAGGTAATTGCAAAAACTGTTAGTACTAACTAACAATTGAATTTTGATTGTCAACAAACTTAACCCGGATCTTAAATGATTGTCAAAAGCAAAATCTGACCTATAAGATGATAAACTTAACTTGCACTGCCACAGAAATCTATTAAAGCTTAATAGCTAACTGAAACTTAATTCTTTCTCTCAATTATTTTAAAACTTTGTTTTACTGGTCTTGATTATATGAGTCGAGGACAATGATTGGTGTCTTTGGTACAAACATAGAATGAGAAAGAAGAATAATTGTCTCTTATTTTCCAAGGATGGTATGTTCTGTTTACTTGAAATCACCACATCAATCTATTGTCATTAGGTCAATTATGAAATTAGGGGTAACTGGCCATTAAGAATATTTTTTGAATTTGTGTAAAAATAGCAATTGATAGAGAGAAGATTAAGCAGAGATTGAGACAGAAGAGAAGAGAGAAGTAGGTGAAATGAAAGGTGGGTTTTATAGAACAAAGGGAAGGGGAAGATAAGTGGATTTATTAGATTTACATTTTTACCTGTGATTTTAAAACCTGACCGAGTTTAAGTTTCATCCACGACATAATGGGAAGTGAGAACTCGTTAAAACCTGGAGTGTATTTCCTTCCCTCAGTATGGAAGTTTGATGGCATGGGATCATTCAAATACTATCATTTATGAGGGTAGTGTATAATGTCAACAATGATATCTATTATTGTAATGTCATGATTGATGACTAGTACATAATGTGAAAACCTTGTCACTGAATCCCATCATTGGAGGAGTCGAATGTCTAACCAACAAGGGCTTTAGTTATATTCTTTTTTTCTCGCTTTTACTTTTTATGATATCTTTATTATCCATCTTGTTTTGTTATTTTCTGTGATATATAGCAACATAATTAACTTTTCAATGTAAATATGAAGGACTGTGTGAGAAGAAGGGTTTTGAATTCAGTGATCGCCAACCCATACTGCTCAGAAGCAGCTGCAAAGGATGCCATGGAAGCTGTATGGGATGTCTGTTACAACGATACACAGCCCTTTGATAGAGCTCCTTGAAACATGTACTTGCTTTGCCAATCTACCTATTGTTGCACCATATCTTCTATTTAAAATGATCTTGGTGATTACATTGACTTGCAAAGCATTAGGATCCTGACCTTTTTGTTCAACGAGAACACTCAATTCTTTCCAAGGCTATCTATCACTTTTCCTTTTGAGTTGCAATGGTACCAAAAGGATTGTTCCATTTCTGAATGTTATAGCACACTCAATTGATTTTTTTATCTTTTTGCTGGGCTTATATTAAAAAAAAGAAAAGAAATAAAGAAATAAAGAATTCTTTCTTGTTAGCTTCAGTTATTTCAAAAAGGCATATGGTCCATTAGGTTTTGCAAATGATGTTATTTATTGTTAAAACAGATCGCTGCTTATGGCTTTCTTGCAGCCATATCCTCAACTATGCAGTTTCTTTAGTATGCTCTCTTTTCTTTGGGGTTGGGGGAGAGCTGATGGGGCACGTTGGCAGCATCCTTCAAAGGTCCTTAGAAGATGTTCTAAGAATAATTCCAAGCATTGATGTGGCATATGGTTAATGCAAAACTTAGTTGGGAACTGGAGTAATTGATAAAGGTATTTTAGTAATTTTAGATTTGCTGGAAAACCTAGAAATTAAAATATTTCTATTTAAAGTATTTTATTTATCCTAAAGTTATTAGTTTTTTCTATTCTAAATAGAAATAGTTATTTTAGAGGTTTATCAATCTTTATCCTAATAGGATTTGGCCTTTTTAAAATTCTATAAACCCGTGTAGTCTTTTAATATTTTTAAATGCAATGCAATAATATCAAATAAATTTTAACAATTTGCTTTTGATTGTGACTTAATCCCTTTTTTAGATGCAACTTCTTAGATGGAACCTCTTAAATTGACTTCTAAAAATCTATCGATATATTTCCTCACATTTCAACAAAAACCATCTTCAATATAGCTATAAACACTCCTAAATAGCATTTAAACTTCAGATTCAGGAACCCTTATGTTGTCTTGCATCAGTTGGTATCAAAGCTTCAACATATTAGAAGAATTTTTTTTTTTTTTTTCGGTTTGTTCTTCAATGACGGTGATTGCCAATGAAGTTAATGCAAAATTTAAAACCTTTCGACTAGAAGTTGAAGCAAGCAACA